TAAGCGGGTTGTACAAAAATGTATGAATGAGAAAAATCCTATTAAGTAGTATCACTGTCATGTGGTGCGACCAACAAAGTCATGTGGTCCAATCATGCAAAAGCATGACGTAAACTCTTTAATGATGAAAATGTTTTTAATTTATAAATTAAAATTAATTATAATAGTTTTTAGGGCATAAAGTCAAAATTGTCAAGGTGGTACAACTGTCCTGTACAATTTACACCACCATGGGCACATATTAGAATAAATACGCTTATTAGAATAACCTGACCTTATGATCATATGAAAACGCATGAAAGAGATCATACGTATTAGCCACCAATTTACCAAAATGTAAAGCAGTTACATTTGCCATTAGAGTGTGTTGCTACAGTTTGAGGTTCACAGATACATAAAAGCGCACAAACGCACATCCAGAAAATTGTTCCATGCTTCACAATAACATATCCGTACAAACACACTGAGGACAGGCTATGGTAATTCAGCTCTCCATGTGGAGAATTACATCAGTATGGGTGTGCGGTGCAGATCCTGTATAAGTGGATGTGCCAGAGGATGATGAATGACTGAGTAAATACCCAGCATCCCAAGAGCCCTGATACAACCAGCCCAAACCCCCATCCATCTGAGCCTGGTCCGCATCACCTCATTTGTCAAGGAAAACCATTTTCTGTGCAGCCGAGCAGCCAGTTTGGGGTTACCGCTCTCTCCCTTATTACAACCGAGGGGATGCATGGAGGTCTCGTACACTTCTTAGGAATTCCTTTCATGATTCTACGCAGCGGTTTTTAAGAGATTCCAAGAATTGCATTTTTGTTTAATCGGTAGACATCCCTTGGTCCCTATTTATCAGCTTGCTTTTGCCACTTTAAAAATTATATAGGTCTGCAAGTGCTACTATGTTGTGTATATGCGAGCAGGTAAAAAAAGAGAGAGAAATAGCAAAGTAAATGCAAATAAATATAAATGATAATAATAACAACTACATGAAAATTAGATTTTTAAAATTGTCTGAAGAAAAAGAAAGTGGTGCATGACCCTGCAAAACTCACCACCACAATGCTGTGGTTTTGGGATTGGTTGCTATGCTGCTGTGGTTAGGGTGGGCTGGGTGGTTGCTAGGGCGTTCTTGTGGTTTCTATCTTGGTTACTAACCCATATCTGAGTCTCTGAGATATTCAAGTCCTTAGATATATGTCGGGTCCTCAGTTCAGTGTGGCTACAAGATTATTTTCCTCATTTTATTATGAACCATTTTTGTCTAGAATGTGAAAGTAAATTTTTATGGAGGTAAAATGTGTATAAATTTTTAAGTTCCCATTTACTCCAACAGCAATATATGTATGTATGTATATATATATATATATATATAAATCCCCTAGTGGATTCTGACACTTTCCAAAAGAGGAATAATAGAGATTACAACAGAGAAAGATATAAAATTTGCAGTTATTCCGCAGCAGTGAATACTATTTTTGTAATTTAAAAGCAATAAAATAAACTATATAAAGAATACTAATACTAATAAATAATCAATTCTACTAAAACGTAATACAAATAAAGTATCGCTATATTAGCCTAATTATTCGGAAATGCGTCAGTGGGCAAAATCCCAAAAATCCCCAATAGTAACTAAGAGCATATAGGCCTAATGGTGTTGGTTTCCTTACCGAGTACCACTAATGACATGACTGGAATTTACAATAATAAATAGAATGCACTGCGTTGTAATGTAATTACCAGGAAATAATGATGCAGGGTTTCAATGGTTCTTGTACAGTCTGTATGCATGAGGTCTTATCATAAAGCCCGGGTGTGTGTGAATGGTATTTAGGCTCGAGCTCGGCACAAGCACAGAGAGAAACAAAGACTGAAAGCCGTCGTCATTAATCTTAGTCAGTGGCCGGTGCTGGCGCAATCTGCATGACCGGGGCAGTGACAAATGCCACTATGTGACTGCAGCGTCCAACCTCCCCAGCTTCATATCCCGTTAATGTCACATCCATCAGGCCCGAGCCGCAAATGCCACTATGTGACTGCAGCGTCCAATCTCCCCAGCTTCATATCCCGTTAATGTCACATCCATCAGGCCCGAGCCCCTCGCGCCATGTCGCAGAAAATTCAACTGCTTCCAGATAAGGTCTAATTGCATGGACAAGCGCGCGGTGACGGGGTGGTTGCACAAACTGTGCTTCTCTTGCGTGTGACTTCTTTGAAATATGCACCCCCTTATTTAGAGGATGGTTTAAACAGGACATATTTAAAAGCAATATTTCATTAAAACACTCTGAACTTTGAAAAGGATACCTTAAATACCGCAAACAACATACCTTCGATTGAAGATTTGCATTATTTTGGCCAAACTAAGGAAATTGCACTGTGTATTAGCCTACTGTGCCCACGAGGAGTATTTGTAATTATTATTTAAAAAAATAAAAGTTTTAAGTGTTTTAAAATTGTTTTCAGTGTCTGAGATGGTTATCGATGGATACAACTGTATTTATTTAACTAAACTCACCTTATGCTAGGTTACACAAAGCTGAACTAGGCTACATTGCTTTTCTTGTTTGTGCCTTGATCCTGCCATACAGCTTAACACTGTCATCTAGTGGTCAAGCTCTGCTTGTAAGAATTAGCTGTCTAGTTTCAAGGTTAACAAAGCATTTTAAAATCAAATCAAATCAAAAATGATAGAATACACTGCCTTTATTACAAATTACAAAGCCCTCTCAGGCAATATTAGGCTATATTAGGCTACTGGTAAACTGGAACAGCCGTCAAAAAGATATCAACTTTATAGTACAGCCCAGAAAGTTAGGACTGTTTACATTTCCTTTAAGATAAAACTATGGTATTTGTTGGTCATCAAAAGGGCATACAAATAGGCTATAGCAATGTACAGTTAACTTATATACCCTATATGAAATTGAACGGAATGTGTAAAGAATAACTCAAATAGGAGTAAACATAACATTTGTATGAATAAAAGCCCATGTAGGGGTGAATGACAAGGTTAGCCTTAAATTAGGGTGACCATACGTGCCATTTTCCCAGGACGCGTACTGGCCAGGATTTCTATATTGCCTAAAATATCTAGGTTTGGGCTTTGTTTGCGTGTGCAGACCGATCGGTGTATGACATCAAAATACCTCGAGAGCATTTTGAAAGCATAAGGAACCATCTGTATGGTACTTTGATGTCATACACCGATCGGTCTGCACACGTAAACAAAGCCAAAACCTAGATATTTTAGGCAATATAGAAATCCTGGCCAGTACGCGTCCTGGGAAAATGGCACGTATGGTCACCCTACTTAAATGCTATACATAAATATACATAAGTATAGATAAGTATATCCCACCAAGCAAAAGTCAAATGTATTATTAAAGCAGTTGTTAATAATATGTGCAAGAAAACTGGAATAAAGCGTCAAAAAAGCATCCAACATAAATTGGGGATTGAAAGGAGCACATACAGAAACAGAAGGGAAGATATAGCCTAGCCTAATATCCTGTCTTCATATTGAACATGTCATCCTTAATTATTTTCTGCACATTATGGGGAAAGTGAGTCACTTCTAAATTTACTGTTGAACTCTTCCATTGTGAGCCATATAATAGACAAAGAATTGAGCTTGTTCACAATATAGACATTATATCATAACATTAAAGAATCTATTTCAGACAGAAACAGTCAAGAACGTACTGTATAACTTTCTGTTAAAATATGTATGAGACACAGGTTTGATTAATGTGATTTAGTTTAGTTTAGTTTAGTTTCTCCTCTATCTAGTTTTCACACCCCATCCCAGTAGGTGGCGGTATTTCACATTAAGCTGGTGCCAACCGCCACAAAACGTGGAAGAAGAAGAAGAAGAAGTAGCGTCTATTATCATAAGAACCAGTGCGAGCGAGGACAGAACAGTTGTTGATGAATTGTTCCTTGTAATTATGTATTTCTATCGGAAGTCTGTTGTTGTCAGTTTCGAACACAAACGTCCAAAATTATGACAAATTTAGCAATTCGTCTCTCGACTTAACATCAGGGAATTCCTGCGGGTAAGGTTAAGTTATTGCTAAATTAATTCTTAAGTTTCCACTTCGTGTTAATTTCGCCCCCTGGAAATGTTCTGCTTGTATTTTAGCTACATTGCTTTTCTTGTTTGTGCCTTGATCCTGCCATACAGCTTAACACTGTCATCTAGTGGTCAAGCTCTGCTTGTAAGAATTAGCTGTCTAGTTTCAAGGTTAACAAAGCATTTTAAAATCAAATCAAATCAAAAATGATAGAATACACTGCCTTTATTACAAATTACAAAGCCCTCTCAGGCAATATTAGGCTATATTAGGCTACTGGTAAACTGGAACAGCCGTCAAAAAGATATCAACTTTATAGTACAGCCCAGAAAGTTAGGACTGTTTACATTTCCTTTAAGATAAAACTATGGTATTTGTTGGTCATCAAAAGGGCATACAAATAGGCTATAGCAATGTACAGTTAACTTATATACCCTATATGAAATTGAACGGAATGTGTAAAGAATAACTCAAATAGGAGTAAACATAACATTTGTATGAATAAAAGCCCATGTAGGGGTGAATGACAAGGTTAGCCTTAAATTAGGGTGACCATACGTGCCATTTTCCCAGGACGCGTACTGGCCAGGATTTCTATATTGCCTAAAATATCTAGGTTTTGGCTTTGTTTACGTGTGCAGACCGATCGGTGTATGACATCAAAGTACCATACAGATGGTTCCTTATGCTTTCAAAATGCTCTCGAGGTATTTTGATGTCATACACCGATCGGTCTGCACACGCAAACAAAGC